GGGGGATGGGTAAAGGATAGGAAGTAAAGGGGCAAGAAGGGCGGGGGAGTGGAGGAGAGGAGGAAGTAGAGAAAATTGCGAGGAGAGGAGAGATAGAAGGTGAAGAAAATCGCGTTTGGGAGAAGAGAGAATGGGAAAAGGCGGACCGTGAGAGAGGAGGAAGAATAGGGTAAAAATAGGGAAAGGAGAAGGTAAGTCAGATAAGGAAGAAGGCGCCACGAGGAATCACAAAGGAAGAGGGAAGTGGAAGAAAATGATAATTAATTAGACTAAGGAAATTGGTAAAGGCGGTTAAATTCACCAACGTTACTATTTCAACCTTAAATACGAAGGGAAAATGAATCCCGTCTGATAAAGTGACGATAATGATAATGGAAAAGTGATTTATCAATTTTATTGTAAATCCTTATATACTTCATGAATATATGGTTATGATAATGAAAAGAAATTTCATAAAACTTATTTTGAAGGGAGATATAGCCCTATATATTTAAATAGATAATATATGCATTTATATATATATATATATATATATATATATATATATATATATATATATATATATATATATATATATATATATATACCAATGGTATTATGAAAACGTTTAATAAAACTGTAATTTGTAATACCTTCTAAACCACTAATTACTTTTATTGTTACAATGATCATGATAGTGAGCCGATAATGATAAGATAATAATATTGTGATAATGATGATAATATCATAAAAAATAGTCTGACAATGATACTAATAATTATCATTATCATTATCCATTCATAGTGATATCAATATAAAAACGTTAATGACAGCAATGATGATAATGATGTGCTGTTAATTACCCAAGCAATGGTATCAATCTGACAATAATGATGATAATGATGACAGCATCAAAATAAAAATTAGCGACAATGATATTGATAATTATGATGATTAGTGACATGTACAATGATATTGATAATTATGATGATTAGCGACAATGATAATGATAATTATGATGATTAGTGACATGATAATGATAATTATGATGATTAGCGACAATGATATTGATAATTATGATGATTAGTGACATTGATTAGCGATGATTATGAATTATGATAATGATAATTATGATGATTAGTGACATGATATTGATAATTATGATGATTAGCGACAATGATAATGATAATTATGATGATTAGCGACAATGATAATGATAATTATGATGATTAGTGACATGATATGATGATATATTAGCGACAATGATAATGATTATGATGATTACGTAATGATAATGATAATTATGATGATTAGCGACAATGATATTGATAATTATGATGATTAGTGACATGATATTGATAATTATGATGATTAGCGACAATGATAATGATAATTATGATGTGATTAGCGGACAATTGATATTGAAATTATGATGATTAGTGACATGTAATGATAATGATATGATGACATGATAATTATGATGTGACATGATAATGATAATTATGATGATTACGACTGACAATGATAATTATGATGATTAGTCATGATAATGATGATGCGACATTGATGATATTGATAATTATGACGATTAGCGACAATGATATTGATAATTATGATGATTAGTGACATGATAATGATGGTGATATCATAACGATGATACATGGTAATGGTTAAGTAATAATAACAGGAATATGAGGATTAGCAATATCTATGATAATGATATAATCAACGCGTATGGTTATTAATGCACTTTTGCTACTACTAATTATAATAGTAATAGTAATAGCACTAGTAGTAGTATTTGTTGTAGTAGTAGAACTAGTAATAGTTTTGGTAGATGTAGGACTAGTAGTAGAAATAGTTGTAGTAATAGTAATACCTAAGTGTAATCATGATAATATGATGGTGATGATGATGATGATTATAGTGATGATGATGAGAATGGCGATGGTGATGATGATGAGAATGGCGATGGTGATGATGAAGATGATGATATGAATAATGACACTAATAAGCCAATCATACAGACAGACAAAGCAAGGTAGCCAATAAAAAAACAAAATATAGACAAAGGATAAGAGCACATCCACCCACAAACATATAAACAAACACACAAACAAACAAATTGATAGGTCAAAGGCACAACTAAATGAAAACGTACACAAAATCCCAGACAAGGAGGCAGTCAAAAAAAAAAAAAAAAAAAAAAAACACAAATACATACAAACAGACAAATAGAAGATACTCTATGCACGCAGCCAAGCACGCAGACACAAGCATAAATACAGACCCAGGAAAATAAACACACATCTATACACACACAAACACAAATAAACAAACAGAAAACCACGGACAAAAAGGCCAGACACTTATCCAAAGACACATAAACACAAACAGACAAGCACGAGCCAAGCAAACAGACAGACACGAGTTCAAGCACACAGCCAAAGACACAAACGCAGGCAAGTCGATAGACACAGACAGACAGGACAAATAGACATCCAAACGCGCACAAACACAATTACACAAACGACACAAACCTAGCAAGTCGATAGACACAGACAGTCGCACAAAGACAAAACAAACACAGCTAAGACACAAACATAAGTAAGTACATAGACATAAGCCAAGCAAACGGGCATACACAAATGCAAGCAAACATACCCATAGATGCCAAACAAACAGAGAGGGAGGCCAGTCACACACTCAGAGACAAACAAACAAAAAAGTAGACATATACAAAGCAAGCACACAAAGTAAAGCAAACAGACATACATAAACACAAGAACACAAAATAATGAGACATACATACACAAACACAAAATAATCACACATACACAAACACAAAATGATGAGACATACAAAAATACAAAGTAATCAGACATGCACAAACACAAACACAAACACACAAACACAAATTTCGATCCGACACACACACAGTCAACACTCACAAACACAAAATAATCACACACGCCCAAACACAACCCCACACAAACACCACCCCACAAACAACCTCCACACAACCCCACACAAACCTCCACCACCCACAAACCACCCCCCCTCCCCCACAAACAACCCCCCCTCCCCCCACAAACAACCCCCCCTCCCCCCACACCCTCAACCACCCACAAACAACCCCCCCTCCCCCCACACAAACCTCAACCACCCACAAAAACAACCCCCCCCTCCTCCCCCACACAAACCTCAACCACCCACACAAACAACCCCCCCTCCCCCATCCCCCTCCCACTCCCCCTCCCCCCCCCCTCCCCCCACACACACAACCTCAACCACCCACAAAACAACCCCCCCATCCCCCTCCACTCCCCCTCCCCTTCCCTCCCCCCCACACACACAAACCTCAACCACCCACACAAACAACCCCCCCTCCCCATCCCCCATCCCCCTCCCCCTCCATATCCCTCCCCCCCCACACACACACACGAAGCGCACGCACCCCCCTCCATCCCCCTCCCCCTTCCCTCCCCCCCACACAAAACCTCAACCCACCCACACAAACACCCCCCCTCCCCCCATCCCCCTCCCACTCCCCCCTCCCCTCCCCTCCCCCCACACACACAAACCTCAACCACCCACACAAACAACCCCCTCCCCATCCCCCCATCCCCCTCCCCCTCCATATCCCCTCCCCCCCCACACACACACGAAGCGCACGCACCCCCTCCATCCCCCTCCCCCTCTCCCCCCCCTCCCCTCCCCCCCCCACCCACGAGACTCGAACACACCCGCGACCCCCCCACCCCCTCCACCCACCCCCCCACCCCCCTACCCCCCCCCAAAAGCTTACCGTAGACCTTGATCCTGCCCTGCGCGTCCCGAGCGAGTTCTTGGCCGTGCAGTAGTACTCGCCGGCGTGCTGGCTCCGGAAGTGGGTGATGGTGAGGGTCATTTTCGTCATGTAGTAGTTGCTGTGCTTCTCGTGGGTGATGTACTCCTTGTTGCTGATCAGCATCTCGCCTGTTGGGGGGAACGGGGGGGAGGGGGAGGGGAGAGGGAGGCAGGGAGGGGGAGGGTGGGGGGGTGGGGAGGAGATGGGGAGAGGGAGGGGAGGGTGGGTGGGGAGATGGGGAGAGGGTGAGAGGGAGGGGGAGAGATGGGGAGAGGGTGAGAGGGAGGGTGATGGTGAGAGGGAGAAAGGGAGGGTAGAGTCAGGAAGGGAGGGGGAGAGATAGGAGGGGGGAAGAGAAGGTGAGAGGGAGGGTGTGTGCGTGGGTGGGTGGTAGGAAGGGAGGGAGGAAAGGGAGGGAGGGGAAGAGATTGGGAGAGGGGAGGGAGGGAGGGAGAAAAGGGATGAAGGGAGGGGGAGAGATAGGAGGGGGGAAGAGATAGAGAAAGGGAGGGAGGATGAGTGGGTGAGAGGAAGGGAGGAAGGGACGGAGGGGGAGAGAGAAAAGGGAAAGAAACGCGAGAGGAAGAGATGGAATGAGGACAAGTGGGAGTGTGGGAGGAAGGGAGAGATGGTGAGAGAAAGGGGGAGAATAGAGATGGAGGGTAAGATTGTTAGAGTAAGGGAGGCAGGGAAGGAGGGCAGAGAAGGACGAAAGTGAGGAGTAGAGGGAAGAAAGGAAGGGAAAAGAAAGAGAGAGATAGAGACAAAAAGGAAGAGATGTAAAGATCGAAGGGAGGAGAATGCAAGATGGGGAAGATGAACAGGACATAGAAGGAGTGAAGAGACGAAAATAATGCGAAACAGAGGGAGGAAAGGAAGGGAATGAGTGAAGGATAAAAGCAGGGAGAGAAGGAACGAAGGAGAGAGGGAGAAAAAGGATGAGAGGGGAAAAGAAGAACAAAGATAAAGGAAGAGACGGGAGGAAGAGAAGAGAAAACACTGGTTAATTGAAAGACTCCATTGGGATATCAACTATAACTGTAATAATGATATAAAAAAAAACTCATATATATTTATTTACTCGTTAGGAAACCCAAAATAGGTCACGAAATAAAACGACCTTGCAAAGTAAAATTAATAGATCCTCATTAATAAAATAAATAAATAAATAAAAATAATGAGTTTATTTTACAGCAAGTCAACAACAGTAACAAGGCCAATGATGACAATAACAATGATTTTCATAGTAACAGTGATGTTGATAATAGTAACAATAACAATAGAAATAATGATGATAGTGATAATAGTAATAATAATAATAATAAGAATGATAATAATGATGATGATAATAATAATAATAATAACATTAATAATGATCATAATGATAAGAAGAAGAAGAAGAATAAGAGAATGATTATAACAATTATCATGTTGATGATAATAATGACAATGATAATAACAAGAGCAATGATGATAATAATAAAAAATGATAATAGAAAGAAATTATAGAAATAATCATATGCCGGTACTAGTTGTAATAATAATAATAATGATAATGTTACTGATACTAGTGACATAGTGACAATGATTATAATCACGATAATGATAATAATAGTAATAATAAAATTCAACAATAATGATGATAACAATGATAATTATATTAACAATAATGATAGTGCAGATGATAATGATGGTAATGATGATCATGATGATAATTATGAGAATGATAATAATAATAATAATGATAATTTTTATAATAATAATAATGATAATAACAATGATAGTAATAATTATAATAATACCAACACAATAATAATAATAATAATAATAATAATATAATAATAATAATAATAATAATAATAATAATAATAATAATAATGATAATAACAATAATAATGATAATAGTAATAATAATAATAATGATAATACTGATAATAATAACAATGATGCTAATAATGAAAATAATAATAATGAAAATGATAATAATAATAATAATGATAATATCAATAATAATGATGATGATAATGATAACAATAACTATAACAATAACAATAATAATAATGATAATAATAATAATAACAAAAATAATAGTAATAATAATAATATCAATAATAATAATAATAATATAATAATAATAATAATAATAATAATAATAATAATAATAAAGATAATAATAATAGCAATAATGTTAACACAATGATCGTAATTACAATGATAATAAATAACAACAAAAATGTTAACACAATGATCGTAATTAAATGATAATAATAACAACAAATGATGAATCAATTATAAAAAAAAGTATAATGATAATGATAATAATGATTATCATACCCCTCTCCCCACAAAAAAGAAAATAATAATAACAATGAAAATAATAATAACAATGATAATGATAATAATAATAATAATAATCATAATGATAATAATAATAGTAATAATAGTAATAATAATAATAATAATAATAATAAATATAATAGTAATGATATAATAATGATAAAATAATGAATAAAATAAAATAGCGATAACAACAATAACGATGATAACAAAAATGGTAATAATGATAATAATAATGTTAACATAATGATAATATAATAAATAATATAATAATATTATATAATAATATAATAATAATAATAATAATAATAATAAAATAATAATAATAATAATAATAATAATAAATAATAATAAATAATAAATAATACAATAATAATAATAATAATAATAACGATAATGATAATAATGATAATAAATAATAATAATATGATAAATAATAATAATAAAAAGAATAATAACAATAATGATAATAACAATAATATAATAACAATATACCAATAATAATAATAATGATAATAATAATACCAATAATATATAACAACAATAATAATAACAATAATAATATTGATAATAACAAACAACAAAGAACAACAATAATAACAATAATAATAATAATAATAAATAATAATAATAATACCAATAATAATAATAATAAATATATCAATAATAATAATAACAATAATAATAAATAAAATAATGATAATAATAATAATAATAATAAGGACGAATAATAATTAATATAATAATAATATAATAATAATAATAATAATAATAATAATAATAATAATAATAATGATAATACCATAATAATAATAACAACAATAATAATACCAAATAATAATAACAACAACAACAACAACAACAACAATAATAACATCAAGGCAGCCAGACTCACCCGAATCCCGGGTCCAGTACTGAATGGACTTGGGAGAGGCCTCCAAGTTGCACTCCAAGGTCGTCTCGCTGCCGATGGGGACGCCGATCAGCTGGTTGGGCACGTGGATGACAGGCCGGACTGTGTGGGTATTGGGGGTATGGGTGGAGGAGAGGGAGGGGAAGTGGGGGTGGGGTGGGGGAAGGGGTGGTGGGGTGGGTATGGGGAAAGGGGGAGGGGGGAGGGGAATGGGGTGTGGGTGTAGAAGGGGAGGGTAATGGGGAAATGGGGGTGGGGGTGGGGGTGGGAGGGGAGGGGGGGTAGAAAGGGAGGGTATGGGGATTGGGGAGGGGTTGGGGGTTGGGGGGTTGAAGGGAGGGTAGAAGGGGAGGGAGGGGAGGGGGGTAGAAGGGAGGTATGTGGAAGGGGGGGTGGAGGGGAAATGGGGTGGGGGTGGGTGGGGTGTAGAAAGGGGGGGGGGGTAGAAAGGAGGTATGGGGGGGGAGGGGTTTGGGGTTGGGGGTGAGGGGAGGGTAGAAGGGGAGGGTATGTGGAAGGGGTGGAGGGGAAATGGGGTGGGTGGGGATGGGGTGTAGTAAGGGAGGGTATGGGGAAAGGGGAGGGGAGGAGGGGTAGGGGGTTGGGGAAAGATGGGGAAAATGGGGTGGTGGGGTAGAAGGGGAGGGTATGGGGGGAAGGGGTGAAGAGGAGGGGGTTGACGTGAAATGAGGGGAGGAGGAGGGGGAGGAAAAAAAACAGACCATTTTATAAAGTATAAAGATTTTTGAAAGTGATTATGTGATGACGAGAATAATACATTTCGGTCAAGATGATGATAATTATATGCAACTCTTATTTCTTATCGTGAATAAAATTAATATAAAGAAAACGAAAATACAGCTATCATCATTAATTTTTCCACAGTTGATTATATCGACAGCGATACAATCACTGATAATGCTATTATTGATAATGGCAATAGCAATAACAGAAACTAAAGAGGGAAAATACTGCAAGCAGATTTTTGCAGTTGCATGACAATCAGAAATAACAAATGGACGCAACATTAATGATTTAAAAAAAAGAAATAGAAATATATATATATATTATTATATAATATATTATATATTATATTATATATATATATATATATATATATATATATAATATATATATATATATATATATATAATATATTATATATATATATATATATATATATATATATATATATATATGTATGTATATATATATGTGCATTTATATACATATATACATTATATGTATATATTATAATATATACATATATATATATATATATATATATATATATATATATATATATATATATATATATATATATATATATATATATATATATATATATTATATATGCGTGTATGTATTAATTTATTTATATATCTATTTATATGCATATATACATATTGTATATGTTAGTGTTTGTCAAGCATGTATAAGAGACGAATACACAGAAAGCGAAAACCAAAATATCAGGAACACACCAAGAAAGATGATAACACCAACGATAACAAGACAACAATACAAATAATGATCATAACAGCAACAAAACCGACAGTAACAATACCCGCGGCACAACTTACAGTGCACGTTGACCATAATCCTCTTGCTCACTATAGGAGGCACGCTGTTGTTGGCCATGCAGAGGTATGGACCCATGTCGGACCGGGTGATGTGGGTCAGGTTCAGATACTCTCCCTCATAGGTCATTTCTGCGAAGGAAGAAAGGAAGGAATTTTGTGATGATTTATTTTTTTCTGTTGTTTTTATTGTTTTATCTCCCTCATAGGTCATTTCTGCGAAGGAAGAAAGGAAGGAATTTTGTGATGATAATTTTTTTTATTGTAATTTATTGTTTTATCTTCCTCATAGGTCATTTCTGCGAAGGAAGAAAGGAAGGAATTTTGTGATGATTTCTTTTTTATTGTAATTTATTGTTTTATCTCCCTCATAGGTCATTTCTGCGAAGGAAGAAAGGAAGGGATTTTGTGATGGTATATTTTTTATTGTAATTTATTGTTTCATCTCCCTCATAGGTCATTTCTGCGAAGGAAGAAAGGAAGGGATTTTGTGATGATAATTTTTTTTATTGTAATTTATTGTTTCATCTCCCTCATAGGTCATTTCTGCGAAGGAAGAAAGGAAGGGATTTTGTGATGGTATTTTTTTTATTGTAATTTATTGTTTTATCTCCCTCAGGTCATTTCTGCGAAGGAAGAAAGGAAGGGATTTTGTGATGATATTTTTTTATTGTAATTTATTGTTTTTCTCCCTCATAGGTCATTTCTGCGAAGAAGAAAGGAAGGGATTTTGTGATGGTATTTTTTGTTATTGTTTTTATTGTTTTTATCTCCCCTCATGGGTCATTTCTGCGAAGGAAGAAAGGAAGGAATTTTGTGATGATTTATTTTTTTCTGTTGTTTTTATTGTTTCATCTCCCTCATAGGTCATTTCTGCGAAGGAAGAAAGGAAGGGATTTTGTGATGATAATTTTTTTTATTGTAATTTATTGTTTTATCTCCCTCATAGGTCATTTCTGCGAAGGAAGAAAGGAAGGAATTTTGTGATGATTTATTTTTTTCTGTTGTTTTTATTGTTTTATTTTATCATTTTGTGATGATTTCTTTTTTATTTTTATTGTTTTATTTTATCATTTTGTGAGGATTTCTTTTTTGATTTTTATTGTTTTATTTTATCGTTATAGTCGTGTATTTGTAGTCCTGAGATCTCATATTTATTACTATTATTATTGCTATTGCTATTACTATTACTATTACTATTACTATTAATGAAGTTTAGCAATACAAACATGCCTAGTAAAAAAAAATGAATACATAGTAGATAATCAACAGTACTGAAAGATGACTTATAATAAATGAATGATGATAAATAAGAAATGATGATAATTGATATTGAATGAG